AACATGGTAATAGTCTGGTCTGCAATAGCACCAATCGACTTGGGAGAGGTGGTGCCCACGAGATCAAGGCACATCCGTTTTTTGCTGGAGTTGACTTTGACGGCCTCCGGCGGATTCGGGCACCGTTCGAGCCACGACTACAGTCTGAGATTGACACGACCTATTTCCCGACAGAAGACTTGGAAGCGCAAGCACAGGCTGCGATGGCTGTGGATCCTCAACCAGACCAGGAGGAAACCCCTGAGATGACGCTTCCTTTCATAGGTTACACATTCAAGCGGTTCGAGAACAACTTCCGCTGAGCTGGCGACCTATGCTATATTTGACCTAGAAATGCAGAGAAACGAGACCCTGATCCTTGCATCGTATCATGGCTGCCGTGCTCCAGTCCTGTCTCTTCGACTGGTAATTTGGTGACACGGCGATGTTACAGAAGTGTGGAAATCGAAAGAATAATGAAATCTCAGAGATTTCTTTTGCTGCAAGCATACGTTCTGTCTGACGTCAGTTCATGACCATGGTGATATGCTTTCGGTGCAGCCATCCAAGACATGAAGAGATTCGTCACACCAGGCCCATCAGTGGCGACATAAATGGACCAAAATCGCACAATACAGGTAGTTCAAGAGTTTATAGTCTATTCACGTGAGAAACTGCTTTTACATGATGTAGTATGCCGATTAAAGCCAACGCGAAGGCTAATTACCAAGCTCAATGCTACCGAGAATGGCTATGATGAACCTCGTGGTACGTTGGCTCTTCCAACGCACCTCCCTGGGCAGAATCAAAAGGGCTCGCCATCAGCAGATGCTCAGACGCGGCATATAACACTTCAATTGCACATCTGATTTTCATGCACTTCTGAGCTAGAGACCAGCCAAAGATTCGTTTCCGGAAATATGGCCACTTCAGCATCCAGATGCTAGCATGAGTTGAAGGATTGTACGACATCAAATCTCTGATTTAGCCGAAGCTGGATCATCAGCTCTCTTGTAGAACATGTCACTCTAGTGTGTGAGAAGACAAGACTCCCACCGACGCGAACGTCCACGCTTCGAGTGCTACGCGCCGGCTA